GCTGACTTAGTTCGGCTGGGCCTTCCCAGTCAAGCTGACCATTAATTAATCCTCCACAGGGACTATTTAGAGATTTGGGTAGTGTAATTAAAGGTAGAGGTTTTTATTTTTCCCCTTGACCAAGGATATGTAGCAACTGAAATTTTTCTAGTGTAATTATAAGTGTTATAAATTTTATCTTCACTTACCTTAAAAAGATTTTCGAGATGAATTTCATTCTTCTCATGAGATAAATTACAAAAGTTAAGAAAACTGCAGTTTTATCATTTTGGAGATGGTCACTGAAATTAAATAATTCAACTTTTGTATTTTTAATAATAAAATGCATTATTTACCTTTTTATCACTAAGATAAAATGCTCTACACCTTCAACCTATAGGAGGATAGGTTTAGCTGGGATCACTTTTTCAGACTTCTCAATTTCTCAGTGTTGGCAGCCTCAGGAGGGCTTGGAGGAAAGAAAGTTGCTTACATCGTGGCAACATCTTGGCAACCAAGGGGCACAGAGAGAAGAGAGGAGCCAGAGAGGACAATGCAACCTTTCAGGCAAGGCCCCCTATCTCTTCCAACTGGACTCTACCTCCAACAGCAAGTGAGCTATATCTCCCCCATGATCCAATAACCTTTCAAAAGCCTTGCGTATAAACGTGACTAGTGGACTAATGAGCACATTTGACTTTGATCTAAACCTTAACATGAAGCATCTAAACCTTGAAGAAAGGAACTGACTTTTCATGGCATTATTTTTCATTAAAAATAAAATCCCAGCTGGGTGTGGTGGTGTGTGACTATAATCCCAGCTCTCAGAAGGCTGAGACTGGAGGATTGCCACATGTTCAAGGACAACCTGGACTAAATAGTGAGCCCCTATTTTATTTGTTTGTTTGTTTGTTTAGATTCACTAAGTTTATTGGTACATTTTAGGTATACAGTATGATGACATTCATCATTGGGAATTTGTACCTGTACATAATATATCTTGGTTCTTATTTTTTCCCAATTCCCCTGCCCTCCCTTCAACCATTCCACACCTCCCTATTTACTAAAGACTATTTACAAGATTTTGTTGCATTTTTTTCCTTTTCTCATATTTTTTCCTTTCCCTTCTTTCCTTTCCCCTACCCCACACTTCCTTTCTCTTCCCCTTTGGACTTTTACTTCCTATTTCACATTATCCATTTTAAATTTTGATCCTCATTTACACTTTCAGTTTATCGCACGAGAAACTATTCAGTATTTATACCTGTGTGTCCTATTTATTTAACTTAAGAGTATTACCTCAATGTGCACCCATTTAGCTATGGATACAATGTTTATGGCTGAGTAGTACTCCACTTTATTGAAAACACACACACACACACACACACACACACACACACACACATTCTTTATCCAGCTACCAGCTACCAGTTGATGGGCATTTGGGCTATTTCCAAGATTTAGCTTTTAAAAACCATGCCTCTATCTATCTATCTATCTATCTATCTATCTATCTATCTATCTATCTATCTCT